TTTGGAGGCTGTTACTTTGAATCTTTAAGCAAGGCATAAAGAAACTTCTTGGGCATACAGGAATTTGTGTGTAAACCTCTGCTCCCATGTAGGCCTTAAGTCTGGGGGTTTTGTTGGAGCCTGTTATAAGGAATTCTTAAGCTGGACTTCTCAAAAGCCTTTCATGAGCCCAAGTTTCATCTGTGCCATTAGATACCTTATGCATTGGGTACATTCCTCTTCTCTTGAGGAGAGAGCACATTTCCGTTCCTGGACCTGTCAGCAAGCAACCTTCGTCACTTACCACAGATCAGGAAAGGTTACTCCATTCCCAGACCCGTCAGCAAGCGACTTTCGTTACTTACCACAGATCAGGAGAGGTTGCTGATGGGTATCTGGCCAGTTTTCCAAAGGGCTTTTTTATTGGCCTTATAAAGTTAACCTTAATTCCTTAACACAGTCTAGAAATGCTAGTCCAGCCAAAGCCTTGGTCATGTTAGGCTCACAACCAACCTGGCCACATAGGATTCTGCCTTAGTTTCTTATAAGTATGCTTGCACAAAGTCTTTTCACTGCTCTCTCTCAAACGGCTTTCCTGGCCAGAGGCATATAGGCGTTTTGCCTACATAACTCAAAAACCCTCACAATCCACCCACTTAAATATAGCTTAGTGGTTCTTGGTATATCCACAATACGTTTTGTTGTTGAGACAGAGTCTCACTCTTATCCTGGGTGGAACGCCATGGCTGTGTCGTGGTGGACAGTAACCTCAATCTCTTGGGCTCAAGCAACCCTCCTGCCTCAGCCTCTCTAGTAGCTGGGACTACAGGGGTCTGCCACAACACCCAGCAAGTTTTTCTATTTTTAGTAGAGACGGGGTCTCGATCCTTGCTCAGGCTGGTCTCTAACTCCTGAGTGAAGGCCATCCACCTACTTGACCTCTCAGAGTTCTGGGATCAGAGGCATGATCAGAACCTCATTCTGCTGTTGCCTGGATCAGAACCTCATTCCTTCTTCTTCTTCTTCTTTTTTTTTTTAATAGAGACAGAGTCTCACTTTATCTCCCTCAGTAGAGTGCATGGCATCACAGCTCACAGCAACCTCAGACTCCTGGGCTTAGATGATTCTCCTGCCTCAGCCTCCTGAGTGGCTGGGACTACAGGTGCCCACCACAATGCCCAGCTATTTTGTTGTTGCTGCAGTTTGGCCGGGACCGGTTTTGAACCTGCCACCCTTGGTATATGGGGCCAGTGCCCTGCCCACTGAGCCACAGGCACCCCTCAGAACCTCATTTCTTTTTAAGGCTGAATTATATCCCTTTGCATGGACAGACCACATTTTGTTTATCTGTATTTTGTCCTTGATGAGTACATGCATTTGGGTTGTTTCAGCTTTTGGGCTGTTATGAATAGCGCTGCTATAAATGTGGTTGGGCAGGTTTTTGTGTGGACACCCAAGGGAGGGCTCTGTGCAGCAGGAATGTGATAGGGTAGGTTAGTCTCTCTCACTGCAGAGTGGGGGTAGGGGCAGTCTGCAGGGGTCAGGAGGAGAATAGAGTCCAGGAGGACTCAGCTAACTCTCGGGAAGCATCCCTGCACTCTCCCTCACATGCATGTGTGTACATCTGGGAAATCTCCAGAGCCTACTTTTGTGAAGGTTTCTTGGTTTTTTTTTTTTTTTTTTTTTTGAGACGGAACCTCACTTTATTGCCTTCGGTAGAGTGCCATAGTCTCATAGCTCACAGCAGCCTCAAACTCTGGGGCTCAAGTGATCATCTTGCCTCAGCCTTCTGAGTAGCTGGGATTAATTACAGGCACCTGCCACAACATATGGCTATTTTTAGACACAGAGGTTGGGGTTGGGGGAGAGGTCTTGCTCTTGCTCAGGCTGGTTTCAAACTCCTGAGCTCAGGCAATCCACCTGCCTGAGGGCCTCCCAGGGTGCTTGGATTACAGGTGGGAGCCACCACACCCAGCCCAGAGCCTACTTTTATTACAAATCTCCCAGGCACAGCAGAGCTTACCTAATTCTGAGATGATGGGGACGGAAAGTCTCCTTAGTAATTGTCCTTGCTTTCTTTCGTTGGTGCAGGGCAATTACCTCTGTGCAAAACTGTTTTCCTCCTCAAATGCTCACAGAACCCCCTGACCAGGGTGTGGCAAGCCTCATTATGGCTGTCCATGGGAGGAAACAGAAGGCCACATAGCAGGGGACGGAGCCAGACTGTTCCAAACCCCAGGCCCTCACACACACATGGCTTCTGAGCTCATGAAATGCAGCTTGTTTGACCGAGAAACTGAACTTTCAGTTTTATTTCATTTTAATTAATTTTAAAATTGGTACTCCTTCCATTTTTGGCAAACTTTTAAGTATATTTGCAAGAACGTGGGTATGCAAATCTAGTTTTTCAACTGGTGAATTTTGTGAACCTAGATACATATCATCAAATGCTTCGATGAAAATTTAGGGTTCAAATAAAAATGTGCTGTAAGTATAAAATACACAATGCATTTTTCTCAGCAAGAAAAAAGAATGTTAAATGTCTCTTTAGTAAGTTTTTGCATTAATTATATATTGAAATAATATGTCGAATATACTGGATTGAATTTTAAAAAGGTTATATTGAAGTTGATTCCATGTACAATGAGTTATTAGTCATCCATCAAAAGGAACAAAGCACTTATGGGCACACCACAGTGTGGGTGAAACTTGGTTCAGGCCGACAAGAGCCACCAGACACGAAAGGCCACGCGTCATGTGACCCCATGGAGTGTCCTGAATAGGCTAGTCCACAGAGGCAGAAAGCAGATTAGTGGTTGCTGGAGGGTGGGTGCGGGTGTGGGGTGGCAGCTAAGGGATACAGGGTCTTTCTTGGGGGTGAGAGAAATGTCACATGGCCTGGTGCACTGGCTTTGTGGTCAGGTAGGGATGTGGTCCAATGGGGTGGGGTGGGCACATCCCCTTGGCCGTGCCAACTTACTGCCTGTAGGTGGCATGGCTGGCGGAGAGCTGGGGTGGCCCAGGCCAGGGGATATCTCCTGCCCGGGCTGAAGGGTGGTGTGGGGCGTTACTACTCCCTAGCTCTGTGTTCCTGATGTAGGGATATGCTGCCTGCCTTCACTAAGAGCCAAAGCTCCCAGAACGTGATCAGCTGAGCCTTCCAGGAACTTGTTCAGTGACATCAGGCATCTGAAAATTTAGAGCCAGCCATGCGGGCTTGGCTCTTCCTCTAGGCTGAACTGGACCCCATCCGTTTCTCCTGGAGAAATCTCAAGTCTATCCCACGTGTGCTCCCCAGCCTCGTGCCCCCAGGTGAGTGAAGTCTGTGAGACCCCCTTCCCTTTCTGGAGCCTAGAGCATGTGACGCTGTGCACATGGTTTAGCAGTTTAGGGTAGGTACTATCTACGAATTACAGCATTTGACTCAATTTTGAAAGTTGAAGCAGCAAGAAGTAAAAAGTCTGTATTTTACCTTTCAAACAAAATGTAAAAAGCCCATACCCAGCAATCCTGTCAGGCTTACTCTGGCTCCACGGTGGGCCAGACGGTCTTTCTCTACACCTATAATTTCCCAGGAAATTGTGACAGCTGAATTTGCATGATGTAGCTACAACTGGAATTTGCAAAATGTGTGTGTTCACGTGGGTCAGACAGCCATGTTGGGGCAGGTCCAAACATCCCCTTGCCCATGAATGGAGCCAGTGGTCAGTGAATACTTTCTAGATGGAGGATGGATGGATGAGTGAGTGGCAGGATGTGGACACGGTGGAGGCGGTAGGGCTCCTTTGGGGGGGGGTTTCAGTCTGTGCCTGGAACCTCAGGAATGGAATGATGGGGTTCGGACTGTGGTGGTGAATGAGGAGTCATGGCCCTTTTGATGAAAAGTACCAAGACCTCCCAGTGGATCCTTGTGTTGTGCTGGGGAGACCTGGGCTGGCAAAGCACTAGGCCTGGCTACATGAGGTTCCCTAAGGAGCCCTGTGTGCTAAGGAACCATCTTGGGTGCTTGAGTGTATAGAAAAGGCTCTCCAGACAGTCCACTGCAGCAGGAACACGCTACGAGGCCCATATGTTCCTGTTCAGGAACCAGGCCCCGCTGCTGCCTGGTTAACAAAGATGCCGACTCAATTTGGGTGGGCAGTTCTGCAAAAGCCTAGAAAACTAAAGCAAGTCTCTTGGTAGGAGGCACTGCAGAAGATGGGCTGTTTTCAGACCTGGTTGAAATGTGGCCTCTGCCAGTCACACAGCCTTGGCCAAGTCCATCCCGCAACGCATCAAGAGCCGTCTTCCTCTGTACAACAGATCCAGGGCCAGAGAAGGAAGGGTGAGCCACTTTTACCCCTAGGGAGGTGGGAGCCACAGGGGGCTCCATTCTGTGCAGAGGTCCAGGGTGGAAGGGAATTGCTGTGATATGCTGAAGGTTGGCTGTGGGAACACAGCAACATCTAATTCCTTCGGGTTTAAGAGCTGAGCCTTGCCCAAGTCCTGCTTTGAGCAGATACAGCTTTCCTGAGCCTATTTCTCATGTCACCCCTCTCATCACCACAACTGTGCTGTATCTCTGATGGTCAGCAATGCAAGTCTCAGCTCCTTCTAGAAGCCTCTCCCCCGTCTTCACACCCCGTTCCACTGTCTGTGGCCCTTCCTCAGGCTCAGGGGTATGGGTGATGCTGGCACCTCTGGCCCCCAGGTTTCCTCCGCTCAGTGGTGGTCTTTACTCCCCCTGAAGCCCACCTCCAAGGCGTGATGGGACTCTCACTCCCTAGAGGTCTGTGTCAGGCAATCTTGAGGGTGTGGATGGGGCAATCTTTTCTGGACAGTGTCACCTGGATTAATCAGTCTTCCTAACATATGCTTCAAGTTGGTAGATTATACCTACACAAAACGTTCCAGAGAGCTCCTGCCCCATTTTCTCTCATTCATTCATTCACAGCTGACCTGCCCACAGAGCCTCCCAAGAGCCCTATGAGGTATCTAGGGTAGGTGACTGTCCTCATTGTCTGTGCCAGGACCTCTTGACTTGGCTGTCCTCAAGGCTAAAGCTTAGATCCCAGGGCAGGACCTTCAAAGGTGGTGCCCACTCCAGGGAGCAGCTGGGTGGCCACAGCACCCTCTGCACCACCAGGGGGCGGCAGATGAACATCTGCGTTTTTGGTGGGGTGGGGTGGGAGGGAACCCTGTGTTCCAGGCCTGGCCTGGTCCTCTTGGTTGGTTCCCTGCCCAGGCAGGCAGGCCAAGGACAGTGAGGACAGAGGCTCCTTTCTTACTGAGGGGCTACCTGGGGAGAGGGACACAGGCATTAATGGGACGCCAGGCTGGGAGCTCTTCCTCATGGAGTACCCTTCTGCTTGGTGCTGTGCAAGGGCCTCTGGATAACTTACTCTGTTTATTCCTCACAGGCACCTCTGATGGGAGGGTGGGAGCCCCCCCCCATTCTAGACCAGAGACCAAGAGGGGCCTGTGCTGGGAATACTGAGGGGCTAGGGCCCTGGCTGCACTTCTTCCTGGCTTTTCTTTTTGTTTTTGAGACAGAGTCTCACTATGTCACCCTGGATAGAGTGCTGTGGCATCACAGCTCATGGCAACCTCAAACTCTTGGGCTTAAGTGATTCTCTTGCCTCAGTTTCCCAAGTACCTGGGACTGCAGGCGCCCTCCATAGTGCCCAGTCATTTTTTGGTTGTAGTTGTTATTGTTGTTTGGCAGGCCTGGGCTGGATTGGAACCTGCCAGCTCTGGTGTATATGGCTGGCACCATAGCCACTGAGTTGCAGATGACAAGACCTCTTCCTGGCTTTTCAATTTCTCTGGGAGATGCTGGAAGGTCCACAGGCTGCCCTCTCATCCTCAGTCAAGGAAGGCCCACTTACCCAGGTTCCTTTCATGTATATATCAACAAAGTCACCACTGCTGTGTCTTCAGGGGAAGGGTGCCTGGATAGCAGCTGGGGATACCCGTCAGCCTGGCAGGCACTAGCTCCCTCTTGGCTGCTGTCCATGGGCCAGACGGGGACTGGACCCAGGCTTCCTCCTCCAGCTGTGAAGGGGCAGATCTAACTCTCTGCAGAGGCCAATTCCCAAAACAGGACCCCCAGGAAGGGCCTCTGGGCCTAGAGGACCCTCTCTGTGCTTGCAGTGAGGGGCATACTATCCCGCTCTGGCCCCTGCCTGGCAAGCCAGGGAAGAAGGGGACTGGGCCATTGGATACAAAGCTTTGGCAGATTGGTCACCTCTCTCCCTCTACTCGCCCGCCGCCCCCAACATGACTGAGCCAGTCTCAGGAAAGGCTTGGATTTGCCCAGGGTCCCCTAGTGCAAAGGCAGTGAGAACCAGATGAGCCAGGAGGCACATAATTTCAATTGCAGAAATCTGCTGTTGATGTCCTGGAAGCCCCTCCCACTGTCGGGCCCTGCCAGCTGGACAGAAAGTGCCCCCCCCCCAGGGCGTGGCTCAGAAAAGAGATCAGGGCGAGGCAGGGAAGGGGTGGCTGCAACTCTGGGCGGGAGGGCTCCTTCCCTCTCTCCCCCATTCTTTTAGTATTCGGTCTGGGACCCCAGGATCTGCTCTCTGGGCAGCAGCGAGTGGCCAGGACTCCGGGCAAAAAGCAGGGGGAATCCTGGCCTTTGTGTGGGGCCAGGGCAGAGGATGGGAAGGGGTTCTGGGGAGTACTCGTTCAACCCGAGGCATCCAGCCTCGAGTTATCCCGCTAGGTCCTTGTGCCTCCGGCCGCTACGGCAGCTGGATGCGCCAAGGAGAAGCGAGAAGCCTCGGCCTAGCCCAGTGCCCCCTCCCAGGCCTGCCCTTCACGGACCGCCATGCGAGGGCGCCTAGCGCAACAGGGGCCATCTCCTGACTTCCGCGGAGGTCCGGCGGCACACGGGAGGGACGCCTGGTCATCAGTCCACAGAAGAAGAGGTCACTCTCTCCCAGAGAAGGGCCCCCAAAAGTCCCGGTGCCTCTTGGAGAAACCGGAGGGACGCCGACCAGCGCCGCAGGCCCCGCCCACCGCAACTTTCGCGGGCTGCAGCGGGACAGGAAGTGGGGCGGGGGCGGTGCTTGGGGCGCGGGGTGGTACCAGGCGTGCGGTTGGCCCCGCCTCCGGCCCCGCCAGGCCTTGGCCGCGCCCCCTGCGCCCCTAACGCCCCGCTGCAGCGAAGTCGCCTAGACCTAGCTTCGGTCGCTGAGCGCGGAGCGGGCGGGCGGGGCAAACAAAGCAGCGGCGTCTCGGGAGGCCCAGACCCGGGACGCGAGGAGGGAACGACCCACCGGGCCTTTGTCTCGGGAGGGGCCGGAGCGGCAGTGGCCGCGGGGCGCCGAGAGCGCAGAATGCGGGGCCCCGCGGGGCGGATCGGGGAACGCAGCAGCGGCAGGCGGCTTGGGACCTGGCCCGGGACCTGTGGACACTTGAGTGTGTGAAGGGGAATCCGGAGCGCTGTCCGGCGCCCGCCCGGGGGCCGCACGTGGGCGGGAGCGGCGGCCAGCTAGGAGCCCGAAGAAGAGGAGGAGGAGGAAGAGGAGGGGACGCTCGGCGGCGCAGCCGGGACCCGGGCCGCCCGCGCGAAGCTCCGCCCCGGCCGCCGAGCCCCTAGCGGGCAGGCGGGATGCCCCGCGGTCGCCGCACTTCGGCTAGCGAGCTGCCCTGAGCGGGCGGGCCCAGGGGCCGCAGCAGGCGCACAGGCGCCGCGGGCGCCATGGAGCAGTGGCGGCAATGTGGTCGCTGGCTCATCGACTGCAAGGTCCTGCCGCCCAACCACCGCGTCGTGTGGCCCTCGGCCGTGGTCTTCGACCTGGCGCAGGCGCTGCGGGACGGGGTCCTCCTGTGCCAGCTACTGCACAACCTTTCTCCCGGCTCCATCGACCTCAAGGACATCAATTTCCGGCCGCAGATGTCCCAGGTGAGCGTCGGAGCGCTGCGGGAGGGGCGCCGTTGCTAGGGTGTTCTTGCAGCCCCACGCGCAGATCCGAACGCCGGGGTCGCAGCCGCCGATGGTCCGGTCACACTGGCTGGGGCTGCCGGTGCTTGTGGACGTCGTCGGGCGGCGGGAGGGGCTGTAGAGAGAGGGCGCGCCCGGGGCCTCCAAACCGGTCCTTTGAGTGGAGACCTCCAGAGGCGCGAAGTTGGCTAAAGTCCCCCAAACCTGGGGCACACCTCCGCTGCCGCGGGTACTAATCGAGTGAGCCTCTTCCTCGGTCTGCGCCTCCCGGGATAGGGGGAGACTCGCAGCATTGCCACCCTCTCTCCTGGGCCGGCGCCCTGCAACAGTCCCTTCTGCCCTTACAGGCCGGCCGCCCTGGGGGCCGCGTGGAGGGTCGCCCTCTCGGACTTTTCAACTGATGGCTAGACGCCGGGAGGACCAGCGAGCGCGCTTGCTGGGCCTGCCCAGGGTGGGGCCTGAGGGGCCGGGTAGGGCGGGGTGGTAGCTCTCGGCCCCGAGGAGCGGGTGGGCCTGCAGCGCGCCCCTCGCCGGCCTCCACTTCTTCCAGGACCTGGTCTGGGGTCAGGCTGCTTCAGAGGCCTTCAGGGCCAATGGATTTGGCGCCAGCTGGAGTCCCCGTCGCTTCTTTAACACCCCCCCGCCCCTCCGTCGGGCCCTTGAGTGTGGCCTTTGTCGCGGAGAAGTCACGCGTGTGGCCACAGGGCCCGGCAGGAAAATGTCCTCTCCGCCTGCCAGTGCTGCTTTTCTTGGCCCGAGGGAACTTGGCCAAGACTGGAGCCGAATCGAGAACCCGTTCTGCCGGCCTTCCCTTCGGGGGTCGCAGAACCTCCGCCCCTAGCAGCTTTGAAGAGGTGGGGGAAGCAAAGGAGGGGTGGGGGCTCCACTCCGGTCCAGGCAGCACTGCCCAGGAGCGACTGCCTGCAGCCCGGTAGCCGCTTACCCAGCCGCGCTCGGAAACTCCGCGTGGACAGAGGCCATAACAGAGTGGGACTTGGGAAAACGCGGTGCCGAGGGATGGAGTGAGTCAGGGCTCCCAGCTGCTAGGCCTCTGCCCTTTGGCGGTGCGCGTTTCCTAGGAGACGGGCCCTCCTCCAGGGCGTTGAGGGTGGCTGCTGACAAAGGAGATCCCTGAGGCGGGAAGGGGCCGCCGCCTTCCCATAGGGTACTAACAGACCGGAAGGGAGCCCAGGCCGGCAGTGTGCTTTCACAGACCTGCCCCTTTGTCCAGCCTCAGAGCCCCGCGGGCGGCTGCGAAGTACTTTTCCATTTTATGGCTGGAGAAACCGAGGGCGAGTGGGTCTCCGTGGGTAGGAGTGTCTTTGATTTGAACTGCTGGGCTGTCCAGGCTGGCTCCCTCTGGGCAGGCAGGGTTCTGGCTGGCTGATTGGCTGGAAGGCCAGTGCTACTGGCAGAGGCAGTGACTGGGTCTTCACAGAGGGGACTGGGCAGAGCTCAACCTTGCCTGGGCTTGGAGCTGGCCCCTCCCCAGCTCTGGTTTGGGAAGGGTGGGAGGAGTAGGGGCACTGGCTTTGGCAGGTGGCTGGTCCTGGCTCAGCCTCCCTGCAAATTCAACTCGGAGACTCTGGGGTCTCTAGAGGCATTGACCGAGCTGCAGCACCAACATTGACACAGTTCTCTTGAGTCCTGCTGCCCAGGCTTAGGGAGAGGGTCTTGGGAGGACCAGTGGATGAGTGTCTGTGTGGCCACATGCTTTGACTGAATCTTAGCGGTATCACTCCCCAGGGAGGTGAGGACCTTTGGGGTTTTACTTTCTCCTGTTCCTGTGCTAAGGACAGTAATAGTGGCCACTTCATTGCCATGTCTTAAGGATTTGCTGAGGGAGGTCATAGTCTCAAGTGATCTTCTGGCCTCCTTCACTTCTTTCCTTCCGAGTAGCTGAGACTACAGGTGCATTTCACCACACTAGGTTAATTTTTCAATTTTGTGTAGAGACAGGGTCTCAGTATACTGCCTAGGCTGTTCTTGAACTCCTGGCCTCAATACCCAGCTAATTTTTTCTATTTTTAGTAGAGACGGGGTCTCGCTCTTGCTCAGGCTGATCTTGAACTTCTGAGGTAAGTGATCCACCCGCCTTGGCCTCCCAAAGTGCTAAGATTATAGGCGTGAGCTATTGTGCCTGGCCTTATTTTTATTTTTTTATTCAAAATGCCTGGAAGCCAGCATGGGTTTAATTAAACTAATTAGGTATGACCACAATCTGCTGATCCTAATGAGAGACCAAGTGTGTCTGGGGCGGCTTTGGCACAAGGTCCAGGCCTCGGCCTTGCCAGCAGACAGCCTGAATGGTGGGCTTCAGCTTGCCCCTTTGGAGTGCCAACTGCCCAGCCTCTGACCTACCCACACCCTACTGTGCAGAGCAGGCAGCTGCCTGTGGTGGTGCAGCACAGAGAAGGCTCGGGGCTGGGGTGGCTGGGGTTTGTACCCCCACCTCAACGCCTGCTTCCTTTTCTGACACTCTAGCCTGCCCACTTTCTGGTGTGCTGCCCTGTCATACCTTTTCGGCCTGTGCCCATTACGTGCTGTGCGTCTGCTGCGAAACCTCCTCTTCTAGCCCAGCTCTTTCTGCAGGGACTGGCTTAGGGGCTTCTTTTGGAAGCTGCCTCTGATTCCACCCTCTCCCCATCCAGCCCTTGGCATCAGGGGCTCCCAGTGCTCTTGGTGTGCTTTTGGCCTTGTGCTCTCTGCTCTGTTTTACCACCGGAGTTCTCTTGATGCTTGCTCGGTAGCACTCAGGAACTGGGCAGAGTGCAAATGTAGGTGGAGGGACAGGCAAGCTGTGGCAGTGGTCAGGAGTCCCTCCTAGGCAGGGCTGTGGTGTCCGGTCCCGCACCCTGGCCTCCCTGCATCCTTTCCCTTCATATCTTTGCTCCTGCAGTCCAGGAGTAATCCCTGAACTCCTGCCACACACCACGCAGGCTCTGCACCTAATGTGGGGCAGGGAGCACTCTGGGTCTGTCTCTGCTCTCATGGAGCTTTGGTCAAGCGAGGGCACTCAGCAGGGGTGCCCAGTGAGGGTGGTGAGATGCTTGCTAACAGAAAGCAACATTCAGTTCTCCCAGTGCAGGCAGGTGCTTGGTCCATGAGGCTGAAGTAGGAGAAGCAGGTGATGGGTGGCTGGGGGCGAAGAGGGGAAGGCTGGCCGTAAGGGACACAGGGAGCCTTCTCTTCTTCTTCCTCTTTATTGGTAGATTTCATTTATAAAAACATTTGACTCACGGAAACGTTCTAAGTACGTACAAATAACCTTTTTGAGCCATTTGAGGGTAAGTTGGCAGCTTGGTACTGTGCACTCCTGGGTGTTCACTGTGTGTCCTGCAGATAAGTTGGCACTCTTGTTTGTAACCACAGTGTGGCCATCTCACTCATTCAGGTGGCCCTCTTCCCTTTACCTCCTGGCAGGTGGTGCAGGCCTTGCATTTGCCCCCTGGTTTGGGATGGCCAGTTTCACTGCTAGATTAGGATGGGGTTTCCCAGACCATCCTGAAGCTGCTTTCTTCTCCTTTGCAGTGAAAATTTATTTTAGAGAAAGTACTTTGAGTTGATATGAAGCTCCCTTACTTACTCTCTCCCTCCCTTCTTCCCTCCTTTCCTCCCCCTCCATCCCTCTTCTGTCTTTTCCCTCTCTCCCCCCACCTCTCTACTTTGGCTTAAGGCTCTCCTTTATTCCATGCATTATAATTTGTCGTTGTTTATATTACAGTGTTTATGTTGGTGCTCACATTGTCCCAGTTTGGCCAGGGAGAACAGCTTCAACCTGCCTTCCCTGTGTCTTTTTACATGTTCTGATCATTCTTAGAGCTGCAAAGAATGTGGAAATGTTGTGCCCGAAAAGATGTTCCCGGCTGATCTTGTATTTTCTTTGTTTCAGCTCAGAAATCAGCTGTTGCTCTGGGGAGCTGTGCTTGCTGGGTAGTGGAGAGGGGTACTTAGAAGCCAAGATTGGGGTGAGGTGCACTCAGTGGAGCTGGGGTATTCCTGCTCCCAGACATTCTCAGGGCCCACACCAGGGCATGGATGTGTGTGTATGAGGGTGTGTGTTCCTAGTCATGGGTGCCTGTCATCTATGTATGTCCTGAGTTTACGTGTATGTTTGTTTTCTGACTCTATCAGTGCTACCAGATAGAAAGGTAATGTGAGCCTCATCTCTGTTTTAAAATTTCTTGTGGTCATAATAAAAAAGTAAAAAGAAATACATAACACTGATTTTATTTAATTTTTAAATTTTTTTTAAATTAAAAATTTAAAAATCCCACTTTGTCACCCCAGGCAGAGTGCCATGGCATCATGGCTCACAGCAACCTCAAATTCTTGGGCTTAAGCGATCTTCCTGCCTCAGTTTTTCATTTTTAGTAGAGATAGGGTCTCACTTTTGCTCAAGCTGGTCTTGAACTCATGAGCTGAAGCAATCTGCCTGCCTCGGCCTCCCAGAGTGCTGGGATTACAGGTGTGAACCACCTTAACTGGCCATATATACATATACATGTACATATACATATATATATATATATAT